GAATACACCGTCATGCCATTCGGATTGACCAACGCCCCCGCCACCTTCCAAATGACCATGAACGACGCATTCCGCCTGCTTTTAGATAAGTGCGTCATCGTTTATCTGGACGACATACTGATTTACAGCCCTGACAGAGCACAGCACTTACACGACATCGAGGCAGTTTTTAAAATCCTAAGTGAGAACCGCCTACTGACCAAAGCATCTAAGTGTGAGTTTTTGCAGGACCGCCTAGAGTTTTTGGGACATGTTATTTCAGCTGCGGGAGTGGAAATAGACCCGAAGAAAATTGCGACGATTCAGGCTTGGCACGCGCCGACCAACTTGACCGAGTTGCAGAGTTTCCTGGGGTTCGTCAACTACGTGCGCCGGTTCGTCCCCGACATGGCGAAGCTGACTGCCCCGTTGACCGACCTACTGAGGAAGGGGGTTGAGTACACGTGGGGGGAGAAAGAGCAAGCTGCCTTCTCGGCCCTCAAAAATATTTTGTGCTCCCCGCCCGTCCTTCACATTGCAGATCCCCACCGTCCGTTCGAGCTCGTCACCGACGCAAGTGACATCGCTGTGGGAGCAGTACTGTTGCAGGACTTCGGGAACGGCCTCCAGCCAATCGCGTACGAGTCCCGCAAACTACACCCGCCCGAACGTAACTACCCGATACACGACCGCGAGATGCTAGCGATCGTGCACGCGTTCAAAGTTTGGCGATGTTACCTGACTGGCGCCGACGTGACAATACGGACAGACCACCGCTCGCTACAGTACCTTCGCGCCCAACCGAATCTCAACCCACGACAGATTCGCTGGTTGGACTATCTCGAGTCCAATTTTCACTACACCGTTACGTACAAAAAAGGCGCATCCAACATCGCCGACGCTCTCACCCGCCCCACCGCCCAACTCCACGCCATCCTACTCGCCCAGACCAACCCGCTTTTAACTGGCCTATTCACCCACGGATACCGCACCGACCCATTCTTCACGACCGGAAATTCACAGCAACTGGCAGAAGCAAAAGGAGTTTATTTCGTAAAAACAGGCACCAACCGCATTTGGGTACCCGCGTACTCACTACTGAGGGAGCTGCTACTACAGGAGGCACACGACGGGATTACCTCGGGACATTTCGGGATAGAAAAAACGCGACAGCAACTGCAGCGGTATTATTACTGGCCGGAGCTGTTGACCGACGTACAGCAGCACGTGGGCTCGTGCCCGACGTGTCAGGTGATGAAGAGTTCAAGGAAGCGGAAGGCGGGTCAATTGCAGCCGATCCCACCGCCCGAACGCGCCTGGCAGCAAGTAACCATGGACTTCGTCACAGGGTTACCTTCGAACCCTGGGGGTAACGACGCGGTGATGGTCGTCGTGGATAGGCTGACGAAGATGGCACACTTCGCTGCGTGCAAAAAGTCGATCTCAGCCGAGGAGACCGCTCGCCTGTTCATCGCGGCCGTTGTTCGCCTGCACGGGATACCAGCAGCAATTATCAGCGACAGGGACACGAAGTTTACCAGCAACTTCTGGAAGAACCTCTGGGAGCAGTTCGGGACCAGGCTACAGTTCAGTTCGTCGTACCACCCCGAGACCGACGGCCAAACGGAGCGGACGAATCAGACGATGGAGCAGTTGATTCGTGCCACGTGCGACGACCCCACGACCTGGGAGCAGCAGCTGCCGCTGATCGACTTCGCGTACAACAACGCCACATCAGCCACGACGCAGCAGTCCCCGTTCTACCTGAACTATGGGCAAAACCCCACAGTGCCCATGACGCCGAGTCCGGACAACCCAACGCCACGTGCACAACAATTCGCCGAAGTCCTGCAAGCTGCCCGCGCCAGAGCCGCCGAAGCAATAAAAAAGGCCAACGTCATCGCTAAGCGCAACACTGATCGTCACCGCCGCCCTGTCACGTACCAATCTGGAGATTACGTGCTGCTCGACACGCAAAATCTGCGACTGCCCGACGTACCGAAATTACGACCGCGCTACTGTGGACCATTCCAAATCAGTCACATGATCACACCCGTCACCGCACACCTACTGTTGCCAACCGACTGGTACATCAGCCCTTCGTTCCACGTCAGCCTACTTCGCCCATACATCCCGACCACAAGTCAACTGCCGCGTCACCGCCCACAATCAATGACTCGCCCTGCATCGGAGCCGATCATCGAGCCCGAAAAAATCCTAAGCCATCGGATCCGCCACCCCACGGGAATCAGGAGGATTGAATTCCTCGTTCGCTGGAAGGACCGCACGCCAACTGAAGACAGCTGGGTGCCCCTGCCCAACATCGAAAAACACTCTGCCCTGCAAGTGTACCTGAGGAGCCGGGGATTCCGCGATATACACGCACTCGCGTAGCGGAGGGGGCTTCTTAAGGGGGGGGGGGTAGTGTAAGGAATTTTCTCGGCATTCCTTACGGAGCCGACTACATCGCGTACAGCAACAGCCGATTGTTCGCCCGTTACTGCTAACGGAACTTCGCCGACTTCGCGCGCACTGTTTTGCCAAACCTCGCACTGCTGGCATGGCCGTATCGGCCTACGCTTCGGGACTAGCCCGAGCCTCGCTCCAGCGTAGCACTAGCAAGCTCGCACGCACCGCGTTACCGTTTTGCATGTTTCGCGTATAAATGTTCGCTCATGCCTTCGCTCACATTTTGTACTCGTTTGACACCTTAGTGCAATTGTTGCTACTTCGATTTATTGCACCCGTAACAAGTATGCTGGCGAGTAAGCGACCATGCGTTAAAACCAGGGTCTCAAGTGACCAAGTGCTTTGCAGTCGATGAAAAACGGGCCAGTCTGATTGGGTTACAAATTTAGGGCCAAACTTTTGACAAATCGAGACTCTCCAAAGAGCCCACTTTTCGCCCAAGTGCTTTGCAGTTGCACGGCCAACCCGTACATGAGACCCTGGCTTTAAGTAGAAGGTCTCCAACTCGATTCCCGCTAGCTCTTATCTTTGAGGTGCTCGCCCATAAACATTTTAGGCCCCGAAACCCAGGAAATTTTTCGTACAGTACATCTCGCTTCAGAGCGAGATTCGACACTATCCTGACTCATCAGTGCTGAACCTACAGCCTTATCCTGAGTTTCAGTACTCAAAATAATCGTTATACTGAAATTACAGGACAATTATTCCTGCTATGCTGTTTTTCCAGGACTAGCACAACACCTATCCTGAATTCAGGAGAATCGGGATAAATTTTCCTGATAACTGAGGCCCTGCTCTCATCCTAGTGTGATGCTCCATTAAGTAGATGCCCAATTCCAATTTAAAGCAGAAACAGCATGCCATCACATGGAAATTGTACCTTACACCATGACTTCAGATGGATTGCAATAAGACGTTCCACTGCAGTGGTGTCAAGGTATGCATATAACGTCTACTCTAATTTTAAAGCAATTGACAGACCAGCTAGATCATCTATAAGGCAGCCATACTATGCATGAGAGGCATGAACCACCACGGAATAGGAGTACTGAAACCAAGGAGGCTTCAAGCTTGACCTGAGAGTTCAGATGGGACCTGAAAACCAGAACCCACACATGAGCTGTAGTCAAGGGTGTAGGGAAGGCAGCTACGGTAGTACCAGAATTCTCGAACTCGTTGAGAGAGCAAGGAACCTTCCCACTTCCTAGGCCTTGCATATTACGTGCACCAGATGTCTGTTGCATCATGGCGAATAATCGAACTTCCAAGAAACACCGGGCCAACCTGTTGACTGATTTCCACTCGCGTGGAGTAGGGCTTCCCCAGCGGGTTTCCCCGTTACGGGAAGTCACCTGCAAGCCAGTCAACGGGAATGACTCACGGCATCAGGTAACCAGTAAAACATGGACATGTAAACAAGACAGACTGCTAGACTAGTCGCTTATATATCAAAAAACCCGTTGTGAAATGTCTCGTCGCAGAATGTCGCGTCGCAGAATGCCGCTGAGATATGTGAAGGAACGCCGTCAGGAGGAGGACGTTATGAATCAATGAAGCCCGTCTTCTGAAGAATAGCCGTTCGCACGCGAGCCAGATCCCTTCCTCGTAACGTCCCTCCAACTCCTTCGTGTACCGAGAAACACATCGACGGGGATATATTCCTTGCTGCAAGCTCGTGCGGCGGAACCATGGCGTCATCACCGTCGTTCTCGGGATCGTCGTTCATCGTCCAACGAGAGGGCTTTGACGATCTGCCTGTTATTTTACTCCAATCAGGGACGTTGACAGGAGCGGAAGCACGATGATGACCTTGGGAAAGCCGCGACTTTAAATGATCAAGGTGGTTGTGAAAGGTTGGGATAACGACTGGATTCAACCCAGTCGGCTTGACAATGTCTCCAGCAGGACGTTGTCCGAAGGAACTTATGTCTGAAGATAGAATAGCGAGACCTTGAACCTGGTTTGAAAAGACACCAGCTGAGGAGCTCGCGTCTGCTTCAGCCCTAAGGCGCAATGACGGTAGACCTTGATCGTGCAACGAAACCCTGGCAACTCCGTCGGTTAAGCTGTCAGAATCCGTTACAGACCATATGTCTTCTTCCGTGAAGTCGTCGCCAGAAGCCTGTACGCAAGAGGACGGCGGGATCGAACCTAACAAAGTTGATCCGTTCTGGAGGCGGTTGCCGTGATTGGACGACCCTAACCCAGAAGCAGCCATTCCTAAAACGACTTGACTGGAAAGCGGAGAAGGGTGTGTAAACATCTTGGATGTTTGGGCACCGAGAAGAGCCTGGACACAGGTAGGCCTAGCTCTGTTGGCCTGGTATCCAAGAAGCTTTAGAGAAAGAAAGCACACCACAGCCAATAGCTGGAAGTGTGGCTGTTAGAAATGAAGTGGCTAACAAACCAGAACAGGGAATTGTATGGAGGAGATGGAAGGGAAGGAAGCAAACGGACAGAAACCGCAGTTCCCGCCTGTACCCTCAACAACTCAACAGGCAGAGGTGGGGATGGGGGAGGTGAAAAGGGCACGGGGATGGAGAGGGGGAGAATCAAGGAGAAGAGGGGAAAGGATAAAAAGCACCACCACGGCACGTGCCCTCCCGAGTAGGTGGGCGAGACGGGATTTGGGAAGAATGAGGGGGAAACGGCGGAGAGGGGGTACGACGGGGGAAGGAGAGGGGTGAGGAGAGGGGGAAGGAGGAGGAGGGGAAGGTGAAGTGGGGGGTAGGAGGAGAGGGGAGGAGAGCGAGGAGGGGGCGGGAAGGGGAGGGGGGAAAAAATCCGGTGCGAACTGTGCGTGCCGGGGATTAGCCATTCGTGCCTAAAATCTTGGGGCGAAGCCTCGAATCTTCCGTGCATTTCTTATGACAAATCGCCTTGTTCCTCCATCCAACTACCTGTCGCTCAAAGATGTTTTGATCGCGCAAATCCCCGTCGCATCCCCTAGCTTCAGGAACCCTCCGGGTTGCCAGCTGGATAGTCCCGCAGCACTTACACAACAGCCTCGCTTCCACCCTACAAAATAATATCTAGTTTCCTCTCAGGGTAGTTTGTTAAAAAAAAAAAAAAAAAACGAGCACCCGACTCCCCTTGAAACGAAACTTTCTACAAGATAACTGGTGTACTCCACACCACACGAGTGCTCTACAGTAATCGGATGAATATGCAACGTTATTTGAGCAGATTTGAGCAACGGCTCTGTACAATTGTGTACCTGCAATATTATGATGTTACAACCTTGGAATCTTCATCATACCACTGCTTGACCAACTCCACCAGCATCAGTGCCTAAGATGCATGCACCAGCGCCAGATAGCGAGCAAAATGGGAAATGGGCAATAAGATGCCACGGGGTATCCTCTACATTACTGAAAAGGCCCATTTCCCCTTCCTCTTCCTGCATGCACAAACTGAAAGCGGTCCCCTGAAACCGATTCACTCGAGCGTCGCCTGTGGTTTACCTGAGACATCACCTGAGGCTTCACCTGAGCCTCCTCAACATCAGCGGCACAAGCAGTATGCCTGCGATTAAGCCCCCTGGTACCTCGTCTTTCAACAAACCTCGTTCTCGGACCATCATGCATAGATTTCGAAGGAATGGCAGCTGCACAGGAAGGGGCGCCTGTAGCAGCTGCTATACCACGTGTAGCTGAGGTGGGTAATTTTCTGGAGACAGGCATAGTGGCACTGCGAAAGCACACATCTAGGTCTGTAGCGCAGCTCATGTCATTAGCTGAGGTCAGTGGCAGTGCAGCTGGCTGTGCAGATGCAGAGCCGGCTTTAGAGGTTGTTGCAGCCCTAGCAGCTACAGCTGCCCTAGCAGCTACAGCTGCCCTAGCAGCGACAGTGAGTGATTGTCTGGAGACAGGCATCGTTGCACTGCGACGGCAAGTGTCTGTATCTGTAGCGAAGCCCGTGCCATGAGCTGATGAGGAAGTCGGTGCAGCAGAGTGCACCGAGGGAGAGGCGGCTGGAGAGGCTGTAGCAGCTGTAGCGGCTACAGCGGCCCTAGCAGCGACAGTGAGTGATTGTCTGGAGACAGGCAGCGTTGCACTGCGACGGCAAGTGTCTGTATCTGTAGCGAAGCTCGTGCCATGAGCTGATGAGGAAGTCGGTGCAGCAGAGTGCACCGAGGGAGAGGCGGCTGGAGAGGCTGTAGCAGCTGTAGCGGCGACAGCAGCCCTGGCAGCAGCAGCGAGTGCTTTTCTGGAGATTGGAAGAGAGGTGGAGCCATGTGGGGTGTATGAGAGGGCAGGAGAGGAAGCAGCAAGACCAGGGGCACCAGAGGCACCAGCAGAACTAGCAGCAGAACCAGTGGAAGCACCAGGGGCAGCACAGGTTGCTGGGAGGGGATAATTATGGTGCCCGCCTAAAGGAGAGGGGCGGGGGCTGCATAAGGGAGAGAGATGGGGGCTGTGTGTGGGAGAAGAATGGGGGCTGTGTGTGGCGCTGATGCGGGGGCTGGACAAGGGAGAGGGATGGGGGCTGTGTGTGGGAGAGGCATGGGGGCTGACTGTGGCGCTGATGCGCGGGCTGGACAAGGGAGAGGGATGGGAGGAGCATAAGGAAGAGGGGCGGGGGCTGCACGAGGGGGAGCAATAAGGGCTGTGTGTGGTTGAAATGCGGGGGGTGCATGAAGGAGAGAGATGGGGCCTGCATATGGGAGGTGACTGGGGACTGTATGGGGGAGAGGGGCGCGGGCTGCATGAAGGAGAGCAACGAGGGCTGTGTGTGGTTGAAATGCGGAGGGTGCATGAAGGAGAGAGCCGGGAGCTGTGTGTGGGACCAGGACGGGGGCTGCATAAGGGAGAGCGATGGGGACTGTGGGTGGGAGAAGAATGGGGACTGCATAAGGGAGAGAGATGGGGCCTGCATATGGGAGGCGACTGGGGACTGCATGAGGGAGAGGGACTGTATGACTGAGAGGGACGCGGGCTGCATGTAGGACTGCCTACTGGGCTTTGTTGAAGCGTAGCGGTGGCATGTTCTTGTGCACCGTTGATCACTGCTGCTCTGCCACGTGGATAAGGACTCACTGGCCCAGGGACACGTGGACTTGCTGCTGTTGTGCCACGTGGGCCCACTACCCCAGTGTCACTCTTCATCCCAGCCCCACCTCCACGTCCGCTCCCACTCCCACCTCCACCTGTACCTGCTGCAGCTCCTGCCCAAGGAAGGCTTATCTGGGGCAGGTACAACCTGGCGCTTTGACTTGCAAGCTTCGTGTCGTCCATCCCTGCTGCACCCCCACCTGTACCTGCTGCAGCTCCTGCCTCGGGAAGGCTCAACTGGGGAAGGTACAACCTGGCACTTTGACTCGCAGGCATCAGGCTGCCTATGCCTCCTGCTGCCTTGGGAAGGTTCACCTGGGGAAGGCTCAGCCTGGCGCTCTGGCTGGCAAGCTTTGTACCTGGTGCCCTGGGAAGGTTCAACTGGGGCGGGTCCAGCCTGGCGCTTTGGCTGGCAAGCTTTGCGCCTGCCGCCTTGGGAGGGTTCACCTGAGGAAGGTAGAGCCTGGCGCTTTGACTGGCAAGCTTAGTGCCTGTGGCCCTGGGAGGGTTCACCTGGGGAAGGTAGAGCCTGGCGCTCTGACTAGCAGGCCTCATGCCGTGTATGCCTGCGAGCCGAGGCACTGTGAGTCTGGGTCTCCGTCTCTTACGCTCCCTTGTGATCACTATGCTGTCCGAATGTGGGAACACCGGCACTCGCACGTCTTGCTCCTCTTCCCCCTCTTCCTCCTCCTCCTCATCTTCGTCATCCTCTTCTTGAGTCGACTCAAGGCTTTGCACCCTTGCGACCACTATACTGTCCGAATGCGGGAACACCGGCACTGCCACTTCTACCTCTTCCTCCTCTTCCTCCTCCTCTTCCTCCTCCTCTTCCTCCTCCTCTTCCTCCTCGTCCTCTTCTTGAGTCCACTCGAGACCCTGCACCTTTGCGACCACTATACTGTCCGAATGTGGGAACACCGGCACTGCCACTTCTACCTCCTCTTCGTCCTCCTCCTCCTCTTCCTCTTCCACCTCTTCCCTTGCCTGATCCGCTTCTTGACCCTCGTCTCCTTTGCTGTGTGCGCTTGTGACCACTCCCCTCAGCCTTGCAACTGACAGACTGTCCGAGTGCACAAACCGCCTTGCACGAGCAGGAGGAGCAGCAGAGGCGAAAGTACTGGAAGTTTCACCTGAAATTTCACCCGAATGTTCATCTGAACTTGTGCTCGGGGAACGGCCTGTCCTCCTTTTAAGCCGGTTCACAGCCAAGCTATCAGAATGCACCAACCTCCTTCGCAGATGTAACCCTTTCTCCTCCCAGCTGGTTTCCTCCTTATCCACGCCTTCCAACTCATCTTCCTCGTCTTCGTCACTCAGACCTTCCGATTCCTCATCCCCCCCTTCTTCTTCCAACACCAAATTCCCACTCCCATTCCCCCCTTCTTTCCACGCACCCTCCCTGCCCTCCCCCTTATCCTCCTCATTCCCCTCATCCTCCTCATCCTCTCCTGCTGCTTCCTCCACCGCTCCTGCACCCTCTTCCTCCTCAATGTCAGCCATCCTCCTTTCAGGCTTCCCCACTCTCTTCCGTTGTATCAACACGCTGTCCGAGTGTATCAACCTGCGAAACCCTAAAACTGCCTCGCCCTCTCCCTCTTCATCCTCGTCATCCTCCTCGTCCTCCTCTCCCTCCAATTCCTCCTGAGAATCCCCATCCAATCCCGCTCTCCTGCGGTGCACCACCATGCTGTCAGAATGAATCAACCTGCTAAACCCTGATACTGCTGATCCATCTCCTTCCTCTCCTTCCTCCTCCTCTGCCCTGTCCTCCAATTCCTCCCCATCCAGTCCCACTCTCTTCCGATGCACCACCATTCTGTCAGAATGAATCAACCTGCTAAGCCCTGATACTGCTGATCCGTCACCTTCCTCTCCCTCCTCCTCCTCTACCCTGTCCTCCTCATCCCCTCCACCATCTGCGCCTCCATCCCCATTCTCCCATCCGCTTCCCAACTCTCGCAACCCTGCCCCACCTTTCAAGCTCACCAACACTTCACCTCTCAACCCCTCTGCTTCCCCATATCCTCTCTCTCCCTCCTCCTCGTCCTCCTGGTCCTCCTGGTCCTCCTGGTCCTCCTTCCCCTCATCTCTACTTAAACCAGCGCCAGAGTCTTCTAGCAATCTCTTTCGCCTGATCACCACACTATCGGCAAACCACACCAAGGGAACGCCAAACCCACCTTCTCCCTCCTCTTCCCCATCCCATTCCTCCTCTTCCTCCTCCTCTTCCTCCTTGTCCTCGTCCTCTTGCTGTCCCCCCCCCTCCTCCGCTTCTTCCCCTGACTCCCCTATAAGCACTTGCACACATTGCTTCCGAATGATATATTTCGGCTGGGGGGAAATTGTCACATTGTCAGCAACTTTTCCTCCGCAAACCGTCAACCCCACACCTCCCCCCTCGTCACAACCATCCGCCTTAATCTCCGTGCTCTCTTTCCCCCCTTTCCCCGCGCCTTCCCTTTCCCCTCCCCATTGCCAGTTCCCCGCGTAGCATTCAACACTTTCCCCTTCGACTCCCGTTCTCCTTGCCGCTTCCCCACTTCCCCCTTCCGCAAAGTCCCTATGTCTCTGCGCCTGCTCCGCTTGGTCTTCCCCCCATTCCGCTTCTTCCCATTCCCTTTCCTCCCGAAGTGTGGTTTCCCCACCGGCTTCACGTGATCGGGTAACAAAGTTATGGTCTCGAATGACAGGTTTCCCATATTCTCGCGATGACGCTGGCGAATTCCTCGCCGAGCTGAAACCTTTTCGCAAATCCTTGACACTGGCAGCGAAACTCGAGCATCTTGTGTCCTTCTGAGGCACCGTGAACGATCGGAACTCTGAGGGTTGTGGAACGCGTGGCGACAGGAGGTGTGACAGCCGAGAGTACGAAGTTTCCGCGGGCGACAGACTCGTGTGCGAAATACCACGCGGCGAAACCGCACTGGCGAGAAAAGACGACAGAACTGAGCGACCGGGCTGGGACGAAATACCCGATAAGTTGAAGTTACCGCTAACGTCATTAGGGTTTCTGCTGCTGCTTCTATCCAAATCAATGCTGCTGCCGCAGCCAGAACTTATGTTACTACTATTGCTGCCAGTGATGCTTCTGCTGCTGCCGTTCCCGCCGTGGTTTGCGTTACCCCTGTGATTGGCGGGGCTAGAGCTGCTATAAGTGAGATTGCAATTTCCAGCGCTCGCCTTAACTTGCGGCGACGCCAACGGCGTTTGCGACAGACGCGATTGGATCCGAGGCGTTGCAGCCGAAGCCGACGGCTGAGGGTGCTGATTCCAACGACCGAGGCTGCTACTACGGCCAACACCTTTATTACCACTTGAACCATTAATACTTGAAGTATCAGAAAATCTCGATCTAGGGGACTGGAATCCATGCGATGATGGTTCCGTTCGGCTCGTTCCAGGAAGCTGCACCAGAGGAGCAATCATCCCAGACTCGAAGCTTCCGCCTCCCTTCCCGATGCTGTCAACGATTCCTCGTAGATCTGCGCTGCCGCTTCGGCGTACACGCATAGGAAGTTTCTGACCGTTCATATTGCTAACGTTTCCCGTTTCTCCAGCGTATTCGTTCCCCCGACTGCTTCCGGCGTCAACGCCCGCGGCTTCTCCAGACCCCCACTTTCCCCCGCTCGCTCTCCCGAGTGCTCCGCCGTTGCTTACGAGCCGCATATTGTAAGGGATTTGGACCGGAGAATCGAGCCGCGAAAGCGAACGCTCCTGTTGGTGACCTGCGGCGGCGCGCTGTTGCGAGTTCATATCCGCGGCCTGCGCGCGTGGCGTCGCTTGAGCGCTTCTTCCTTGCGCCGGTTGCGCAAGTTCATGCGCGTGCGTCGCGTGCATCCGCCCACGCGAATCCCGCTTCCCCCACGGACCCTCGTGGTTTAACGCAAGGGGACTGTTGCAAGCGCTCGAACCGCGACTATCCGTACTCAAACTGCCGTCTATTCCGGAACGCCTATCGCCTCCTAAATTGCTCAGTGCGGGCGCAAACCCGCGACGCGGCGGCAGGCCTCTGGGAGTAGACGACGCGCTGCCACTGCGGCTTCCTCCGCCGCTTCCCCCGCTGCTTCTGGGACTGCATCCTCCGCTGTTGCTAATCCCACGAGGTGACGTCAGGGGGCTACGCTGCTGACTCGGCGGCGGTTGTCGACGTGGCAACTGCAGCCTCGGGTCCTGGCCAGTGGAGTGGCGACGCTTGGGGAGTTGGAAGCGAGGCGCCTCGAGCGAGTGGCGGCGCGCGTGATGCGCAGGTAGGCTCACTTGTGACTGTAACGAACCATTTTGTAAATATCTTCCCTGCGATGCTACTAGCTGCAATTGGCGAATCACAGGTGGATTCGCAGCAGGCGAGGCACGACATCTCGCGGAATCTTGGCTGTTCGCGACGTCCCAGTTCGCGAAATCCCGACTCGTAGCAAAATTGTTACTGCTGCCGTCGGCGACGCTGCTGCAGCTGCCAGTAGGATATCTGTATATAGGGCTGTCCCCTTCGTTATTAGAACCCGATATTCCCGGGTATTCCACTTCTGACATGCTCACATGCCTCCGCTGCGAAGGCATCATTCGTGTTCGCACTTGCCGTCCCGAGCCGCCGTTACTCGCGCCTGGGAACGAACATGAACCCCAGGGTGTTGCCGAAGCTAAGCTCGTCGGTGTTGACGAACTTGTGCCGCGGCTTAGTGTTGACGAGCCTGAGCTTCTTGGTGTTGACAAGCCGCGTTTCGGTGACGAGTTTCCGTCTCCTCCCAAATCCCGTCCACCTTGCTGCCGCGGCATGATTCCACGCGGGGAGCGGGCGCACGCGGTGGCGGCGCCAACCTGACGCACTGCACATGACAAGCGCGCAGCGGCGCCAGGTGTCTGATTTTCCGCGACCTCATGGTCAAATGAGTCACGGAAATCCCCGTCACGAGAATCCTCGTTATTGTTTTCGTGATCGCCCACTTGAAACTCGGTGTCCCGGATATTAGCATAGAGATCAGGTATCGTCAGGGAAGGAATCCGAGCTCTCGAGGTTCGTAACTCGGCCCTGGACCCCGCAACTCCATAGTCGCTGTTTGTACGGTGCACGTCCAGCATGCTCGCAAGAGGGAGACTATCTTTCTGTAAGGTAATAGAATGTTCACGCTGAGACGCGGTATGCTAATACGCTGGTGAATAATGAGTTGATACAATGTCGGTTGCATAGAGCTTTAAAATCAGCGGCGCAGGTTGAGGAGTGAAGAACATGATGCAGTTTCACTGCGTTTAGGAATCAACGTCATTTTCACAAAACCCAAGTCTGGAATTCTCAAGTGGAGATTAGTATGATTCGAGGCGAGATGAGGAGATGTCGAGAAGAGAGAGGAGTGGACGGCGAGACGAGACTAGACGAGACGACGCTGATTGGCTCGGAACGTTGCCCCAAATTAGGAGGGAAGATATTATTGCAAAGAAACTTATCCACAATCTGTACAGAGCAGCGCTGCACTGTGCAAAATCGTGTTTCACGAACCTATCGACCACTACCACCATTCCGCAATGCCGTGGGAGGCTAGTCCTAAAAGGTCAGACCTGAAAGGTCAGACAAGCAGTTGAGCACCCAGCCGATGACAGGCAGGTGAATGCCCAGTCGACGACAGGCAGAAATCAGGAACGAGCTGGAATGATATGATCGGACTCCACATGACGATGACACACAACACAGGCCATGGCTTGTGTAGTGTACCAAAGTGCCACAGGCGTGCAACAGAAAGTATCTGACACCTAAAGACAAAGCACGCCAACAAGGTGGTGACTATCTTGGTCACTTTCAGCATATCCATCTTGATTTCGTTTAATATGTTTCCTTCCAAAGGAGTTCGGGGGAACTAGGTATGTGACAAGTAAATTCGTTTCCTTTAGATACGCCCTTGACGATGCAAGGGTACAGCGGGTCTTGGAGGGGGACAGGAAGGAGAGAGATGCATCACCAACTCGCGCGACGCGGAATGGTGTGGTATGGTGGAAGCACAGAACTCAGGCCGCCTCGAGCCTTGATTAATGCTACCTGAGGCGTGTTTTTCGTGCCACCTCACCACCATTCCAGTTGCTTTGTGTCAACACTATTGCACGTGGTTTCGACTGGCAGATTGAAAGGGAGGACCTTCTGTAGTTTCAGGCAGAAGCCCTTCAGGGGGGCCTGTTGTTGAGCATTTGGGCTGCTGCGGCCAGAGGACACAACCGCCCTAAAAAACTTGGAGCCAAGTGACACCCTTCTGTTCGAATTGGGTGCGAACAGTGTTCCGGTCGGTCATCGCGAAACCCGCTAATGTATAGCGCATTCATGTTATGCAAAACCGAGAAAGCATAAATAAAATTTCCCAACAAATTATTGCCAGCCAAGAATGAAGAACAATGTTCGGCAATGCCATTCGTTTAGCCTCTACCTTTTGTACAAATACGGAGTGCAAAAATAAGGCCACATCTGTGTCATCAAGCTTTTGCACGCCTGTTTTGCCCTTGAACCACTGAACAAAATTCTCGTTCCCCTTCCTCCCCCATTCTCATATCACAGGGAAAAATGATGTCCAACTTGTCAATTATGCAGTATTTCTGATTATCGCACACAAAACGAATTGGAAACAAATTTGTGTGGTAACAAGACAATAGCCCTACGCCTGGTCTACTGTCTGTGCGAAAATGCATTTGGAATATAAGAGCAGGGTGCATTTTGAAGCCATCTACTCCATCCTCGCTTACGGCATTGCTCGTCATGGCCTAGAGATTGCCTTGTTCATGGCCTAGAGAGTGCTTCGCTCATGGCATAGAGAGTGCTTTGTTCACTACCTAGAGAGTGC